TTGGCTTACCAGCCATCTCCACCGCTCGTCAATTTTGCTTCGCTTTATTCTCTTCGCGTCGTTCCTCCGTTCGTATGTCTAATCAACAATTATACGAAATATATGCATTCAAAACTCCATTCTCGTTATTTGACTTATTTAATTCCGTTATTAACTAACGCGATTTAAGTCAATGATTATATACGAGGATAGACGATAGCGACCAATCATTACGATCAAATTGGAGTCAGATCACGGGCCACTAAAATGGTGATCCCGTCACCACAAGCGAACACATCAGGCTACAAAAAAAGTTTTCTTTTCGACGAAATCATTTACTGAAGCTGTAGATTAATATTTAAAGTTGTATGGTAAATATTCTAATGATATAATAGATGACAAATTAATCCAACTTCGACAGATACTCACCAGAAACGGTTATCCACCTAGATTTGTCGATAGAAGCGTAACGCTAATACAACATCCTGAAAAAGCATCGACAGTTCAAAATGAAACTCTTCATAGATATCACATTTAAGGTAGATGCAGCTACTGAACTCTTGAATAAACAGGTTTCAAAATCCCTAAATATAACCTTTCATTCAACTAATCTTCGTACTATCTTGTCAAACTGGCTTACCATTTATGGGTGTACTAAGGATAAACTTCTACTTCGAATCACATCGATGTGCATCTGTAAATTTGCTCGCTCCTGTGGGACAGGTTACATTGGCCGCACAAAATGATCACTTTCCAAACGCATCTTAGAAGACTTCGTATTATGGCTTTTAAGAGCAGAATGCAAAGCAGTTACCAGTTGAATACAGGAGCATTTAATCAATTCTGGACATGTCGCTCAGAAGGAGTCTTTTTTTATCAAAATAATTTATATGATCAAAGGAACTGGATTGAAGGGAGTGCTAATTAAAAACCCATACATTATTAAGGCGTTAGCGATCCACCAATTTAAGCTTGATCTCTGTGTGTACAAATAATACGTTCAACCTCTAATTCTTCCTTGGCACTAATCCCCCTTCTGTAATATGTTTTGATCTTACTTTATTTTAAATTAGTTTTGAAATTTTAAACCGTATTCGGTTATTATTATGACCTTATTGTTTCTCATTTTTCTTCATTTCTGTCATGCGGACAATTACCTTTCATAAGTCTGTTACGTTAATTATTTTCATCCTTCTATTCTTCTCTAATATCTTGATTATGACACAACCTCATTTGATAGTTGGTGTCTCGAATCACTTTATGATGCAATCTTTTCTATTCTTCTATAGAAAGATGTTTATCATGCAACTACAAATACGACTGTACAGCTTAAGTCAAAAAGAAAATTTTCTTCGCTAAATCCTGTTTATTGTTATTTAATGATACGATTAGTTATCATGTTTCTGCTTCAGTTATTCTCTTGTAGCAGTTTCTATTTTCTGCTTATGAATGTTTGCTAGTACTAGAAGTTATATAGAATCCTCAACATACATCATCTTCATATGTTCTTTATATATATATATATATATATATATATTGTTCCATCAATGTCGTAAAGATACTGTTGCGTTTTTCAAAAGTAGTACACTGATCTTCGGCTCCATATATCATACTTTTAAGAATGATAGATGTTCGCTCATTGTCGTGCATTAATTAAATTTAGATAATATATACATCACTGAATGCCTGTCCTATGATCTAGAAGTTAAACGTTCTCGTGCATAACTAAATGTTTTGGGTTAAATAGGCAAATATACGGTTATGGATACAAATTGCTGACGAGTCTCATATTATAATGAAAGAGTCTTTGAATACTTCCTCCGTGCCAATATTGGTCTGAATTCAATTAGTGAATTAATTCTATATTTTCCATAAATTCTGCTATATTAAAATTTTTACTTATCAATTTAGATTTCTGGAATTAATATAGATAATTTGATGATAACATTATACTGATAATTATAGTTTATGGGTTCATTTTAATGGACTTTTACCATAAAATAAATATAGATACAATGTAAATAATGTATAACTAAATCGTATTACATAGATTTCATCTATGTTATTTGTATGTATATAAGCAAACTCAATATTTACCTATTTCACTAATCAGGATAAATAGATAGATAGATAATAAATGGGATTGATGTATAGAACATTATCAATTGTTATACTGTGTCACTCTTTTCCTTTTTTGTTTTCTCACTTAATTTTTTCCATTATATAACTTGAAAACATGTAATAACTCTAATTATTTATTGGTTATGATATATTAATACTAAGTGTTTATGAGATTACTGTTTATGAAAATACATTGAATAAGGTAAAGAATCCCTGTAATTCATATATATATATATATATATACCTCTACTAATTAAGATAATTGAGTAGTAATATTCAAAGAAAGTAAAATAATTAACAGAACTTATTCAATCTATATAATGGTAAACAATAAATAAGATAATGGTTTTGTTTTCATGTTTTTTTTTTAAAAAAAACCTATTTACCAGTCATTAATATTTCAGACTTGATTATCAGATTAACTTTTCACTGAATATATATTTTTCTATGAATCATAATGTGAGGCTTTCGACATTTGAATAAAATAGTTCTTTAGTCTTGTAGGTTTTCAGTAATACATCAACTGTGACCTAATGAAAAATAAAGGGAATTCAGCAAAGTTTTCTCTTCGACGAAATCATTTATTTATGCTATACATTCTTATATGTAATCGTGTGGTAAATATCTCTATAGAAGGATATAAAAGATTGCATCATAAAGTGATTCAAAACACCAACTATCCAATGAGGTTGGCGTAATAATCAAGGTATTAGAGAAGAATAGAAGGATCAAGATAAATAACGGATCAGAATTATCAAAGATAATTGTGTTGGGGGACGTTAGATCCCCAGAAATCACTTGGAAAAAGACCTAACTTTGTAATTTTATTAAGAAAATTTGAATTTCGCGCCGAAAGCGCTCTTTTCACCTTTTTGTTGTATTTCCCACTTCAGAGAATCTTAAATGCCATTGGTTCGTTGTGTCTTTTAGTATGCTGATTTGTAACTTTCCTCAAGGACGGTTTTGTGCTGTATATATACGTTTTGATTTGTGTCTGTTGTTATCGCTTGTGCTTCTGGCTTTTGCGGAATGTAATTCCTCATTTCAAGCTTGGACTTCTTGCCCTAGTTAGCGGGTCTGAGACGCATCGAATAGCTAGTTTTTTGGTCACCGAGTCTTTGTTCCGTCCACAGATTAGGTGAACTGGTAACCACTTCAAACCTAGCAAATTGTCCGCTCGACAGAAATGAGAAAAAGAACGAAAAATATAAAAGTCATAATAATAATCATGAAAAATTGCTAAAAGATAATATTGACTGATCACATTTTAAAATTACAAAAAACGGACTAGAAAACAAAACATATTGCAAAAGGGAATTCGGGTAAAGAAGGATAAAAGATTGGATGTATCGTTTTTGAATACAAAATAAATGATTTCGTCGAAAATAAAATTTTCTTCGTTGAATTCCTTTTAATTATCTGATATATATTCATCTGTGAGAAAAATGAACTTCCACTTGAACAAATCTTCAAGTAGATTTCAACTAAATGAAAAGTGATAAGTTAATCACAATCATTGAAATTGAGAGAAAAGCATTTTAGATTTATGATGTATAGAGCTTAAGATCAGTGGATTATTGTTCAAGAAAAATAGAAGTGTACTTAAGATATTCGTCATCTTATCAGCATATATATGTATATATACCATTTGAACTGAAGTGAATGTGTCACCATTCCCAACCTTAATCAATTGATCATATGGCATGATCATACAGTAAAATGTGAAATACCCTTCAAGATTACCACATTATATATATGCTCTGATGTGTTTACTGCGGAACATTAGGGTTTTGGGTGTACTTTCCTGAAGTCTCAGATTAACATGAGGAAGCAGTTCAGTGTTCACTTGGTTTCAGTTTATCTCCAACTAATTCCAGTATGTGAAGAAATTTATTTACGAAATGTGATTTTCAGCAATAATCTAATTCTGTAATCAAATATCTTGTGAACATGGGTTGTTCAATCAGAATGAACTCGAAATTCAAAGTCATCTACAAAGTGAATAAAAATTTGACAAAAACATTATGCTTTCATGTTCTTAGCATTGATGAAACATTTGCTATTCATTAACAAGAGCTAGAACTATATATACAAACGAAACTTATTCAACTCCTTTTTTATAAAATGGTCTTAACTTCTAATTTTCCGCCACTGATTATTTCTCTCTTATCTACTTTATTAACTTTTTACCCAACACTGACTTATTGCTGTTTTCATTCTCGTTGTGATGAGATTCTACACGAGCTTTAACATTTTATCTTGTCATGTTATGGAACTATCTACCTCAGTTATTAATCTACATCTTTTTTCTTGACGAATATTCAAACTTTTAAGAACTGCATCTTAATACGAATGATATTTTTGTGCTTTTTTATTTTACCTCGTTGTGGTTATGTTCAGTTGACTATTAATAATAGCACGAGTATTTTCGACGGATATACTATTCATATCAGAAGGGGTTTTGTGGATATTGTAGTAATTTCAATATGCTATTGCTTATCATTTAAAAAAAATTGTATTTTTGAGTGATCAGTTTTGAATTTAAATTCATTGAAAAGAGCATATTTTAGTAGGTGCATCATATTTATTTTTTCATTTCTAACTTTTACTATTCATAAGGTTTTAAGTAGTTTAGCTGGTTTTCGTTAATTTTATATATATGTATATATGGTCGTGTTTATTTCCAGTTAATTAATTTTGTATTTTAACATTGAAGAGTCATTTGTACTTGATTCCTCAACAATACTTATATGAGATATGTAATATTCACTGGATAATAGTTATCATTTACTAAGTAATACTGTTTCGATGTGACATATTGTTTACTGAGTGAAATAATGCGTATTCAGATTCATAATAACTGTTACATCCTTATTTTACATTAATTTTTTAAAATCTAGTTCAAAATTCGATGATTGTCAATCTGCCTTACAAAATTTGATTCATATCACTGCTGGACCACTTGTCATCTTTTCAAGTTCATCTAATCTAGGCCAAATTACAATTTGGTCAACTCAAGCTTTAACTGGACTATTGAAAGCAACATTTACTTATTATCCAAATTTATGCGTCAACTATGAACAAAATGTTTGGATGGAAAGATTGTTGTTGTTTTCTCATGTAATTCATGTAAGTATTATATATAGTAGTTTAGTATATATAAGGGTACATTATTTAAAGAGACATGATTCATATTGTATTTTGATTGGACGTTTATCACAAGGGTGTTGAAAACGTTAATCATACATACAGAAAACACACCTAACCAAATCTGTTACTATATTAGATTACAGTATTGTCGTTAGAGTACATACCTTAATAGTTATCCGTTTTATAACCAGGTGGTTTCGTTTAAATATCTATGGAGTCATTAGCGTTTTGGATCGATTTTGTATTCACAAATATTTATCCTACTTATTAACGGTGATTGGTAACATCTGGTTTTAGACTATCATCATGAAAGCTTGAAAGTAGGCTGTATGCTTAATGACACCAATTGGCAAGGTAGATTTTCAGGTTCTTTACGGTTCTATTGCTTTTTACTAATCACTGCTCATAATCTACAAACAACTAATAAAATGATAATTTTCATCAATTTTTTATCAGTTAATAAACTATTACAATTAAAGTAACTCCAGATAACGTACTCACGGCCATACATAGGACAAATTCCAGTACTTTGGTAATCTTACTTAAGCTTGTTACCCCTCGTGGAGGAGAGTAGATTGTCCACCAGGATTCTACATCGAATTCTGTCCTAATTAATGTTGCTTCCAGTTGCTATTTATTCTTTTGGTGTCTGCTTTTGATTGTCTACCATGTGTTTTCTGGTCTTTCTCTTTTCGTTTTCCCTTCAGGATTCCATGTTAGGGCTTGCTTCGTGATACAGTTTGATGATTTACGTAATGTATGTCTTATCCACCTCCAGCGTCGTTCCCTTATTTCCTCTTCAACTCTGCCTTTAGCTCTCCTAGAGTATTGTTAAATGAGGAAGGTTGGGTATGGGGTCAGCAACCCCATCCCGTGGAAAACGACCTTGCTAAAAAAACACTAATCGGGGTAAGCAATTTAGATAATCTTAACCAACATGATTCCAGTAAGATGGGAAGAGAAACAAATTTAATTAGAAACTAACGAAATACATAGGAAACCAAAGTCATAACAATAAATAAAGAATTTGCATACTGTTTATATACACACATATCTGGCTTTATATCGCCCATAGTTAATGCTTATGCAATACAGATTGGATCTATCCGTATATCTTTCGGCAGAATATGAAATTATCCCTTCAAAGAAGTTGTCGGTCATATATTAGGCACTTTCCAGCTCTTTCTTTTCATTAATGATGAATATTTCGTTTACACTAGAGATACACATTTTCGTTTTGATCACTGATCAGACTAAGGCTTTCAGTGACCGTATACCTGTCAATGGTGATTGATGAATTTTTTGGAGCTTCTTTCGTCTTTACCTTGTAGTGCTAAATTGAAAATATGTTGTTAAGTGAAAATCTATAAGTGACGAGACTATAATTTATGGACGAACCAATCAAATATAAGATAACGAGTAATGAATTTTGGCGCTAAATTCATTCATACATTTGGCTAAATAGAGCTTTGGCATTATAATTGATGTCAGTTCGTGATGAAAACCCTTAATATAATTTTTAATCTTAACTGTCAACCGTAAATCAAAATTCTATCTGGTTTATAATCCTCATTTAGTCCTATTCAGTAGGTGTCCATTCTTAAGGTCCCTTCAGCTTCACCCATATGTCGTCCATAAATTATAGTCTCACCCTATGAGTTCTAATAACATTCGACATTGTAATTTTTTATGTTTTGAAAACATGTGTATGTTTTAAATTATTTTGGTCCTTTTGACTAAATGATAGTGTTGTAATGTGTGAAAATCCTGGAATCAAAATGCGAAATTTGTTTCAAATACAGTACTATCATTAATAACAATATAAGCAGTGAATTTACAAACCTCAGTTCGTGAAGTACCTATTATGTATACTGCATCAATTTATAAACAGAAATGAAATACTTCTAAAAATAGTTACATATCCGATTTCTCTACAGAAAAACACAATAAACTGAGTGATAGCTAGTTGCAGTGTCAATAACACAATGCCAATAAACAATCGAAATGAGTATTATGCACATAAAATGTTAAAATTATTACAAATAAACAAAAAAAATAAAAGTTACTGTTCAAATATGAGGACAAATACAATTAACGTAGTAAATAAATTGGCTGTTATATGTTCATTTAAATATTTAGATGTACAACGGAACAACAAAGGGATATTGTGAAATGTTTTCTCTAAAATGATCGATAATACATTAGTTACTGAATATTAGCAAGTAGTATAATGACATACACTAAAAACAGATTGAGAGAGAAATAACAAATCGTGTTAGCGCATTTGAAAGTAGTATTGGGTAGTATTAGGTTTATGGTGTTCTTCCCTGACTTTACTTCATTGAAAGCAAATAAAGCGATAACATCAAAAGATACTAATAATTCGTTATTTTTGATATTAATATCTTTCATCTTATATTTTTTATCAGGTTCTTCATAGATTACTACCTAAGGTCTTCCTAGTTGAATCATCTAATTTCGGCACATATGAATTATTGAAACAGTTAAGCAAACACATTACCGATGCTGACGACTCTTTCAATTGGGACATTATATCATCACACTTGAATCTTTTAACAATGATTCTAATGAGATTGCCATCAGTACAAGTGCTGTTATCCTCAACAACAACATCATCATCGGATGGTAAAATTAGAATACAAGAAATGGATAAATTTCTTGCTATAATACAATATGGATTCATGAATTTATGTTTGGCTATCGGGAAAATTTGGTTGTGTCCTGCATGCACAAAGAATTTAATGTAAGTTTTAAGAGGAAGAGGCTAATTTTATTGACTAATTCAATACTACTTCATAAAAAATTATTTACAAGTCATAAAAATGGGAGATAATTGTCCACTTTTAGTATATATATTAGAGAGACCCAGAATATTCTTTCAAAAACGTTTAGAGGGGTCCTTTAAAACACTGGGAAACATTTTATACAGTAAGCATCGAACTGAATTTTTCTTCGGAAACGTCTAGAAAGTGAGGAGTCACCTGTCACATTTTTGACTGGATGCTTACTTACCCTGCTACTATGTTTAGTAGGGTTCCAGAAGCACAAGGCCATCTGAAGTGTCATAAATAATCTCAATTTGCTGTACATAAACTGAGCTTGAAATAAGACATTCTTTGTCGTATTTTGCGCCTTTTCTCTCGTGTTCAAGTTGTCGTATAGAGTTAACCTGGGGTTTATTAGAAGAGCTTAGGAAACCGATTCGAGCGTTCAGTCAGAAGATATATATATATATATATATATATATATATATATATATATATATAAAACTCATAGCGAGACCTGGAGAGATCCCCCTTGGGAATTTTACACTAAGGCGAAACAGTCGTTGTCTAGCTGTGATCAGTTCCTGATATTATATTGAGGAAAATAGAAGAGCAATACCTAAATTAAATATGTTACTGAGAATTATACTCCTGAACTATGTCAAATTTGTTAGAGAGAATCAACACATTATATCAATTTCTTTGTTGCGCATACTGCTAATAATATTTACTTAGGTTACTCAAATGATCCAAATAACTTATTCAGTGATAGTTTAACTAACATCAATTACTGTAATAATAAAAACAATATAATAGTAGGCAAAATAGTTTAGTAAATAGATCAAAAGTATACTACACTCACTACTTCGAACAACTCATAAACCAATCAAAGAACAGCATGCAATTATAAAACAGAAATAGGATTTCATATGGACAAACAGTTTTGACTTGACTAATGGTTTTAATTTTGAATTGCTTATCACAGTAAATGACTAAGAGTTAGATTTAGGAGTTACCGTTAAGAATTGAGGTTATGAGTTGGGTTTTCGAATCAACGGTAGGTTTAACAATTAGCATTAAGAATTAGACTTTTGACTTATAGGTAAGGGTTTTCTAGTCAGAAGTTGGGGTACGAAGTTAAGGTTACATATTAGTGTTAGGGCAAGGAGTTGATGTAAGAGTGAAAGAATGTTATGCCATGAATCGCAACATGTGAGCTGAACGATGCACTTTTCATAAACAGTGGGTGTTTCTTCTAGTTAAGCATACACACCAAATTACATCAATTATGTGATTGAACAACAGTTATGTTTATCACATTTATCAACAACATAACTTCTTAATTAGATATATGCTATCAGTAATTACGTTTTGATGTTCATGCAACGTTCCTAAAAGTGATTATTTTCAATCTGATTTTTCCATTAACTACTTCATAGTTTTATAACTTATTCTGTCTTTTTATAATACATCATGTATTTAGATTATTTTCAAATTTCATACATATAATTCTCTTTATTTTTAAATATTTGACAAATGCATTCATCATCAGAGGGGGTTTTGTGGAAATTTTAGTAATTTCAATAGTTGAAATCATGAGTCAATTGAAGCTAGACCACCATGGAAAACCTGGAAGCACTGGAAGGCCTTTGGTTGCCGTTTCAGTGGTCTGATGGTTAAGCGCTCGCGCGCGAAACTGTTAGGTCCTAAGTTCGAATCTCACGGGGGGCGGGTTCGTAGATGTGCATTGCTGAGGAGTCCCATACTAGTACGAAACGGCCGTCCAGTGCTTCTAGGTTTCCCATGGTGTTCTAGATACATTCACTGTTAAATATTATACGCTTTAGATTACGTCATCAATATGAAATGGTTTATTTATTTATTTAGTAATCAATAAACACTCATTAGTTTGTTGAAGCATATATTTTATAATAACTTGGTTAATTGTATATATGAATGAATAGGATCTCAGTGATAATATCAAGTTTTTCTTTTTCATTTATCGGTATACTTTTATATTTTCACTGAAAAATTACAATACATACATAGTGAATATAAATATGTAAATAAAATCATTGTTTCCATTTAAATTATACTTCAATGTTCTTCAGATTATTGATTGTAGAATAGATGGGAAAAGAATGAGTATATGATTGATAGGTTATTATGAATATATGATCAATAAACAGATAATTGTAAAAAGAAAAAAATATCAATAAACTATTAAAGAGAAGTAGGTATATGTGTTTCAACCCACTTCTATTCATCTTATACTAGTATGGATAAATGATTAGATGAAGTTATCATTCAGATCAGTATTTAAATGTTTTATTTAATGAAGTATGTGAAACTTTACTTATTTTAAGTAATCAAATTGAATAAAAATATTTTGATTGAGATCATGAACCGATTGATGTTAGACCACCGTTGGAAACCTGGAAGCGATGGACGGTTGTTTTGTCCTATTGTGGGACTCCTCAGCAGTGCGCATCCACGATCCCGCTCGCGGGATTCTCGGATTTCTGGTGAGAAGCCGTGACCAGTGGCGCTAATCCGTGTCGGGTAGAAACAGGTGTCTACTTCAGTACAATGGAAGATTATCGCGCAATTCGTGGATTGGTTGGGGTTAGATATTAACACCATTGGATGCCGGCTCAGTGGTTCGGTAGGTTAAGCGTTCGCGCGCGAGATTGAAGTCCCTGTGTTCGAATCCCGCGAGCGGGATCGTGGATGTGCACTGCTGAGGAGTCCCACAGTAGGACGAAACAACCGTCCATTGCTTCCAGGTTTCCAACGGTGGTCTAACATCAATCTGTTCATCATCTCAATCAAAAACTTTTGTTTTTCTTTCGAATCCTATAGTTACTTCACTTATTTATTATTTTATCTTAATTTTTTTTCTTTTTTGTAGAGATCAAAGTGTTTTGGATTTTCTCAATCAAGATCAACAAATTAATGACCAGTTTTTTAAAACAAAATACTGTGTACCCAATTATTCTTATGATTCTTATAATTTATTATTATTTCTTTATGAATTATTAAAACTATTATTTAATTTAATAAAAATTTCTTATTTAAAAATTTATTTTATTAAAATTCGTTTGAATCTTATTCAGTGTTTATTATATTTAGGCAAATGTTTATATTATTGTTCTAATTTAGAATATCCATCAAAAATATCACAATGTATATTTTATATAATACGTATTATTGGTTGTATATGTTATGATCATCATGATCGTGATCATGATGGAATTGAGATCAGATCATCTTTAATCAATCCTATAATATTATCTAATCAATTATTAAATAATTTTCTATTACTTATTAATTGGTATTATCAATTTAGATGTTCATGGTCTATATGTGGTATTGAATTATGTTGGTCTTTAACTAATTTTATTCAATGTTTCAATATATCACTATTTCAACGACAATCGAATCAAATATTGGATAATTTTATTGATTGTTTCATATTTAAATTATTTACTTTAGAATTAGGTAATAAAGAAGTAATGCGTTTATTATATATTAGTATGAGTATTATGAATAATAATAATAAAAATAATAATAATATACGTGATAATGATCGAGATTATTTATATTGGATCAGGATATTAAACTGTTTAGATGATCATTTAAAAACTCAACTGACTTATTGGAAATATTTAAAACAAAATTTACCAATGTGTTATATTGAAACATTTATATGTTTGTTTAAATTCTTATCAATTCTCAACATGAATGATGATGATAATAATAATAATAAAGTATTACAAGAATATATTGAGAATAATTGTCCTATATTATATAAACTATATACTATATGTAATCAAACATTAACAATAATGTCATCATTATTATTATTATCATCTTCAATATCATTGGAAACATTGACAATGGAAGAAACTAGAGAAATTTTATATTCTATGAATTCTAACACAGATATTATTTCATGTATAATATCAGTTCTTGAATGTATATGATTGTTTTTTTTTAAACAATAGTTAATTTTGTGTGTAAACATAAATGTATACAAGGATGTAGAGAATTTTTATTTATTTGAACACATAAATATTGGTAAAAGGTCGGTACCAGATATATTATGCGTTACATAATAATAATGAGAATGGGAAATGATAAAGAATGTAAGAAGCGTGTAAAAAGGAAAAAAAAGAAAAGTAACGACTACAAATCAGTGTCAGTCAGTCAGTTACAACGTAGGACCAGGCACATATATACATCGGTTCAAGTTGCCACACCTCATTAGCACAACAAGATGAACACCGAATTCATAGAAGTAGTTATTTCAGTGGTAGTAATATATAAAAGAAAGATTGCATATAAGAATATGGTACAGGAAGAAAGAATAAGTTCGTAAAAAGAAAGATATGAAGCGATTTTAATCTCTTAGTTTAAAGGAAGACAAATAGTGTATACACCTACGCCACTGTGATAGGTTCTGAGCCATGTCACCAAGAGTCTCCAACCATTGGTTACGATAGTCACTCGGACCTTAACCAAGTAGTCTGCATCTACCAACATCGCTCAGACCAGAAATTAGTGACTTTGTGGACTGATGCTACGTATTGGTTTGGCCGCCCCTAACTTTCTTCTAACCATCACTAACACCGGTTAGCATTGCGCGCCGTGGTAATCGGTGTGCAGGCATACGCAACACGTGGCCCAACCATCTCAGTCAATGATGATTCATAACCTCATCAACTGATTTACCATCATTCCTTAATACCCTGCGTCTAACCTCACTATTACTTACCCGGTGATCCTAGCAGATAGGAGCAATATTTCTAAGTTATCTGTGTTTAAATACTGGTAGTTTACGAGTATCTTCTACTTTTAATACTACGTTTCGCAGCTATAAAAAAACAGAACGAACTGCCACGTAGTATACTCGTTCTTCAATTGATAAACGGATATCTCGCCTTCGCCATAGATGACGTAAGTTGGCAAAGGCCAAACGAACTTTTCTAATCCGTGCAGAGGTTTCGTCAGACACCAACCCATTAGTGCTGATCAGACTTCCAAGATAAGTGAAGTTGTCAACGCGTTCGATTATTTCACTCCCTATCCTTAGTCCAGGTGTTGACGCAGACCAGTCCTGAAGCAACAACTTGCATTTAGAGGGAGAGAAGCACATCCCAAACATTCTGGCATTGTTGCTCAGTGCTACCAAAAGACTCTGCATTTCATCAGCGTCTTCACCAAACATATGCGTATTCTAAGTCAATAAGTGGACCTCCTGGTAGGAGATCAATACCCGAGAATTCAGTCGATGAGAGCGTTATTTCCATCAGTAGATCTATGATGAAGTTAAACAAAAATGGAGAAAGTGGACAGCCTTGACGGACACCACTTGAGGTTGCAAAACCAGATGACAGTTCGCCATAAGCTCTGACTCGACTAGTAGTGTTCGAGTAAAGAGCCTTCACAAGGTTTATGTACTTCTGAGGTACGCCTTTCAATGACAGACACTGCCACAGAACCTCTCGATCCACAGAGTCAAATGTTGCTTTTAAGTCAAGGAAGACCACCATTGTCGGACGCCGATAAGTATGCCTGTGTTCTAGAACCTGACGAATGGTGAATATGTGGTCTATGCAGCCACGAACAGGTCTGAAGCCAGCTTGATTCTCTCGTGTGTGCAGTTCACGAGGCTTAGTTAGGCGTCCGATAATTACCGAGGCTAGTATTTTAGATACTATATTAGTTGAACTAATCTCTATATGGTTGTCACAGAATGATTTTGACCCTTTCTTAAATATTAGGACGATAAGTGATTGTGACCAGTTAGATGGGATAACGTCCAACTCCCAGATTTTAGCTAAAATATTAGTCAACCTAGTCGCTAAAACTAGACCACCATCCTTAAAGACCTCTGTAACCAATCCATCTGGACCATATGCCCTTCCTCGTTTCAGATTAGCTATAGCCTTTTGAACTTTAGCTCACGATCCCACCCACAGAGATGGTCTAAATAAGATTATCTATAAGTAATCGACAACGCGAACATAACAGGAGTAAAGATCATTAGCATTTTCATCCAGTAGTGTCGCATTCTTTATCAGCCATATGAGATAATGGTTGCAAAGTTTTGCTTTTGCTTTTTTAGTAAAATCAGATGATGATATTATGAAGAAAGGATTATGAAAGATTCATAATAAAACTATTTATCTTAGAGAAAACAAAACTAAAAATATGCTTTAATAACAACGCTATTATCCAATGTGTCTAAGTTCATTGTTACTACGTTGGTTTGGGTGTTGGAGATAATTAGCCAGTTATATACAACATAGAACCTGGTACATCAGACAAAATTGTCACACCTCATTAGGACAGTGAGATGAAGTTGTCAGAATGAATTCCGTTGAGAATCTAGTATACAAACCGCTATGAATTAACTTTAGTAAATAATGGTTAAATAGAATGCGCTGGTTAGTAACATGTCAAGTGGAAAACATTTTAACTGTTTAACATAATTACTATTTGAGAAAATACAGATCATGATAACATATTCAAAGTGCGAATATTCTAACAAATAGCCAACCGATTTACTGATGTAGGACTTTATACGAATTTATATCGGTTCAAGTTAGCATACCTCAAATCAGGATATGTAGGTAGTAAATTAATAAGATGAAAAGCGCACAAGAAGACTTGATCTTAACAGTAACAGAAAGGTAAATATAGAAAATACAACTCATAAGGGACATATGAAATTGAAGGATGAACAACACTGATCACCAGATTTAGGGAAAGATAGAGAAAGACTCCAACTGCATCACTGTGAATAATTTTGTGTATTATATCACTTAACGTTTCCAAATAAACTACATGTATTGCGTATCCCCCAAGCAAAAAGTCTGAACCTACTGATATGGTTCGAGCTAGTAGTCAATGATTTCATAAACAAATCTCACGCCAGTCTGTCTCCAGCTTTTTTCTACCTACTCTCAGAAATCTAACAAGTAAGGGTAAACAGCGTAAGTAAACACGTTTTAGTAAAAAAATTCTTAATGTCGGTATAACCCCGGCTCAATGAATAATAGTTCTTTGTACGTAAAAGGATGACAAGTAAATATTTCATAATTCAAATATTACACCTTTATGTAATGATGTAGAGACTATATGGAAACCCAGCCAATAATAAACTGATTACTTATCTAACTAATATGTTTAGATTATGTCTATAATTTGAGATATAGTCACATTACTTCCGATGAAATGATCGCACTATCTGTAAAAAGTTTGAAAAGTAATGGTAACCGGGTTTTCTGAAACTTTTATATGATTACGAATGATGAGACAAAGCAAAATCCCTTTCAATCTCGAAATATTAATAGGATAATAATCGTAATCCCAGATTTCAAGATTTTTAGGTAAATTTATTAATGATGAGTCTAATAAATTTCAAGTGAAAAGAAACACATACTGAATAGTGAAGTACAGATATACATTAGTAATAAAAAGCAAAACAGAGTACTTATCAGTCATTGCTACTAAATACTCGAGCGAACTATAACAAAAGCTGAAACGTCATTATAATGAAAAATGTGAATAAACAGTAATTGAACATATAGAATATGATAGAAATAAAGAGTATAGTTTAATTGATACATTTTATAAAATATCCTGTTTATAAATATTCAGTTTCTGTGGTTGATCTTACTTACTTACTTACGCCTGTTACTCCTCGTGAAGGAGCATAGGCCGCTCACCAGCATTCTCCATCCAACCCTGTCCTGCGCAATCCTTTCAAGCTCTTTCCAGTTCTTATTCATCTTTTTCATATCTGCTTCTATTTCCCGACGTAATGTGTTCTTTGGCCTTCCTCTTTTCCGCTTCCCTTCAGGATTCCAAGTTAGCGCTTGTCTCGTAATGCAGTTTGATGATTTCCTCAATGTATGTCCTATCCATTTCCATCGTCTTTTCCTAATTTCCTCTTCAGCTGGAAGCTGGTTGGTTCTCTCCCACAAAAGGCTGTTGCTGATGGTTTCCGGCCAACGGATGTTGAGTATCATGCGTAGACAGCTATTAATAAATACCTGTACCTTCTTGATGGTGGTTGTTGTAGTTCTCCAAGTTTCAGCTCCATACAGTAGAACTGCCTTGACGTTCGTATTGAAGATTCTGACTTTGATATTGGTTGAAAGTTGTTTTGAGTTCCATATGTTCTTCAGTTGAAGGAATGCCGCTCTAGCTTTGCCAATCCTCGCCTTGACGTCTGCATCTGAACGTCCTTGTTTATCGACGATGCTTCCCAGGTATGTGAAGGATTCCACGTCTTCCAGAGTTTCGCCATCAAGAGTGATTGGATTGCTGTTCTCCGTGTTGTGTTTGAGGACCTTGGTTTTCCCTTTGTGTATGTTGAGGCCTACTGATGCAGAGACTGCTGCTATGTTGGCTGTCTTTGTCTGCATTTGTTCGTGTGTATGCGATAGGAGGGCTAGGTCATCTGCGAAGTCCAAGTCTTCTGATTGGTTCTGAGCTGTCCATCGTATGCCGTAGTTTCTCTCAGATTTCGAGGTCTTCATAATCCAGTCGACCACCAGAAGAAAGAGGAAGGGAGAGAGTAGACAGCCTTGTCTTACTCCGGTCCTTACTTGGAATGCGTCTGTCAGCTGTCCTCCATGCACTACTTTGCACTGTAGTCCATCGTATGAGTTCCGGATAATGTTGACAATCTTCTCAGGAACTCCGTAGTGTCGAAGAATTTTCCATAACGTCCTCCTATCTACACTGTCAAATGCCTTCTCATAATCAATGAAGTTGATGTAGAGTGACGAGTTCCACTCAATTGATTGTTCGACGATGATCCGTAGTGTCGCAATCTGGTCTGTGCACGACCGGTCCTTACGGAATCCAGCTTGTTGATCTCGAAGTTGAGCGTCAACTGCGTCTTTCATCCTGTTCAGTAACACTCTTGTAAAGACTTTACCCGGTATTGACAGTAGTGTAATGCCTCTGTAGTTTTCACACTTGCTCAGATCTCCTTTCTTTGGAATCTTGATGAGGTGTCCTTCTTTCCAATCCATCGGCACTTGTTCCTCCTCCCAAATCTTCTTGAATAGAAGATAAGCATGCTTGTAGTTACTTCGATGTCTGACTTCAACGCTTCAGCTGGTATATTGTCAGGTCCTGCTGCTTTCCCGCTCTTGATTTGTCTGATGGCCATTCTGATTTCTTCCGTCGTTGGTGGATTGACATCTATAGGAAGAT